GACATCATGTGCTCTGATTTGGGTGCATGGGCCACCCTAACCATTGTGTTTAGAACAAAATGTTGAGGGTAGAGGGCAAAAGTGGACTATAAGACAAAGTTCTTATGACAGTCCAGGAGAAAAATGGTTTTGAGCCAGGAAAGAGGTAGTGGCAAGGAGTGAAAAGTCATCAGATTCTTGATATGCTGCTCAATATTGAATGGCTAAAGAGACAGGAGGAATGCTCAGTCTGAGGTTTTTGACTAAAACATGAGAAGACTGGAGTTGGCCTTGACTGAGAAGGCCAAGCCTGTGGGAGGAGCAGATTTGGAAAGGCTGCTTGGGAGGTTACTGTTAGACATCTGAGTGGAGTCAGAATAAGGCAGCTGGATATATGAGTCTAGAGTTCAGGGACAGGGTCTGGGCTGGAGATAAATTAAGAAGTAATCTGCATGAGACAGGATGAGCTCACCGAGGATATGGTTTTAAAAGAGCAAGAGAAAAGGTCCAAGAACTGAGCCACAGTTTATTAGTCCAAAAAAGCTGTAGCGAATGAGGGGAAGTGAGACAGAGCCCAGGAAAGTGTCATGCCCAGAGAGAAAAAGAAAGGATGAGAAAGGAACCAACACAGTCACATGCTGCTGATGAGTCAAGTTAGATGAGCACTAATCTCCCATCAACACATTGACAATGTCATCCATGACAGAACAATCATGGTGAAGTGGGCGAAGGGGGTGCAGGTGAGAATAGCTTCACCAGAGATAAAAAGGACAGGGACTAAGGACGATGTGTGTAAGCAGCTATTCCAGAGTCTTACAAGGTGAATAGAGAAACTTGGGAGTGAAAAGAGGCAGAAATGAGTGGGAAGGATTTTGTTTTAAGTTGTGAAAAATAACAGTACGTCTGTATGCTTCTAGATATGATTTAGTATTGAGAGAAATTTGAATAATTTGGGAGAGGGAATTGCTGGCACTTGTCTTTGAGTAAGAATATGGGAATGGAATATGGAGTGAAAGACAGAGGTGGCCTTATAGGAGCACAGAGAGCTCCCTGAGTGGCAAGAGAACTTGCACAATAGGGGTGGGTAGGCAGAGAGTGGGAGATTTGGAAGATCTCTTACGATTGTCAGTTTTCTCAGGGACACAGAAATCTTGGTCATCAGCTGAAAGTGATGATAGAGGGGGAGGTAGTGTTTAAGGAGAGAGAATAACGTGTGAAATAGTTGTCTAGCAGAGTGGGAGAACAAACAGATGACAAAAATATAGTATGACTTGGCACAACCAGAGGCCCACTTGTGTTTTGTTTTCATGAATTTGGGATGAGCACACTTGAGATGGCTGTGTCCAGCCACATTCTGGGTGGCTGTGTCTGCCACATGGAGGAAGTAGGAGAGTGTAGGTGGAGGCGTATTAGAAGAGTGGCTGAGCAAGTACCTGGGAGTGAGCAAGGGATGAGAGGGTAGAGGGTACAATGCAAGGACTGATACAGAATTAAACATTGGAATTCATGCTTGAGAAAGTGGGAAGCAATGACATCAGACAGCGAGCAATGATGTTGATTAGTAAAATAGCTCATAGATCCCAGGGAAGGACTGTTGAACTAGGTGTCCTAGAGAAAGTGGGGGCAGGAAAGACTGAAAATGGTATAAGTAGAAAGTGGGCAGATGGGCAATTCATGGTAAGGGCAAGAGTTAAATCAGCACTTCTCAAACTTCAGTGTGAACGTAGGTCACCTAAAGTTCTTGCTAGAATGTGGGCCAAGCCTGAGATTCCGAATTTCTGTCATGCTGCCAGGGTGATGCTGAAGCTTTTGGTTCAGGGATCTCATTTTGAAAGGCAATAATCTAGTAGTAAATCAAAACCCCATGGGGATATTAAATAATACTGATGCTAGACTTGTTTGGATCAGGGGATCAAAATTTCTGTGGGTTGGATTTGGTTTCTCTGTGTTGAGTTTAGAATTGATATAGTCAAGATGTTTCCCCAAGTTTTTCTATTGTGGATCCAGGGTTGAAAACGTTTGGCCTAGAATATGTGAGCCCAGACTCATCACCCGAAGGTAGATCATGGAACTGAGGGACCCAGATGTAAGTGACATCTTTGTGATTATCAAAAGTAATCAGAAATTATGCTGAGTAAAGTGACTCTAAGCTCGGAAGTCTGTAGAGGACAACAAAAAAATGTAGAAAACAGGTGATGGCATGAGATTAAAAGCAAAAGTATTGAGACAGAGTGGTCTGAAATCAAAAGTGTAGATCAAGGCCCCTGACCCACTGCTTTGTTGGATTTGGGAAATTGTACATTTACCACTTGAAAGGGCTCCAGAAAAATACTGGCATCAAACAGAGCTGGATTTAAGTAGGAGAAAGGTGAAGCAAGCAATCTAAAAAGAGTGAAATTTTAGAGGACTTTGCTGCTGGGTTCTCAGGTAACAGAATAGAGATTTGGGTGATGGTGATACACAGTGCAGCCCAACCTGGGATAATGATACAGGAAGCATGGGATAGCTGCATCCCAGCCTGAGCTCTCCTGGAAAGAATGATCACAAAGCAGAGGTCATGGCACAGCTGGTGGCACAAGATCTTATGGAACTGGGAGATCTCACCAAAAGCTGTGGGAGCCCTTCAGATCTCTCTTCACTCCTACACCATTTTCTACCTTTAAAACTCTTTGTTTCTTCCATCAAAAGCATACCAGCCAACTCAATGTGGAAAACGGGTTAAAGCAATTTCAGTGATTAAAACTGTCATTGGAGGAAGAACAACGTATCTTCACAGGACCCTGGGGCATCCCCAGCACTGGGGGAGGAACCTCCCCAGGGTCTAGAGGCTCAGGGCATAGTTACTGCTCCAACACTGGTGAGAGACAACTGAGTAAAACAAGGCATTATGTATGAAAACATAAAAGTCGTATACCCAACAATCTCATGTGTCTCTTTAAATGTTACATCAACTGTGGAAATAGAATTCTTTCTTCCATGTAGTAAACTCTTCAAATAAATAAGCAGTTTGTAATATCCCTTGAGAACTCTTTATATACATTTTGATTAGTATGATATCATTGTTTGTTAAATTGTTATCAATTTACATAGAGAACCCATCATTTTGAACAGCCAGACCTTCAGTTGGGTTCTCCAGAAGCAAACAATGAGTCAGAAGTTTGCATGCAAATGTTCTTTAATGAAGTGCTCCCCGGACAGCCTGTAAAGCAGATGAAGCAAACAGGAGAGAAAAGGAGAACCTAGGAGATAATGTAAATGCAGGCAAAGTCTCAAGGATAGAGCTTCAGCCTGACCCCAACAGGGAAACTCAGAAGATGGAACAACTCATATTGGACAAAGGTACATTTCTGTACCCATTGGTCAGCAACTAACAGGGAAGTTATTCAGGGATTTGTGAACTCCTAGGTTCCACCAGGCTAAGGGATTCCATGAATCTGAGAAATATTCTTCAAAGAAGAATAGCAGGTATAAATTCTTGAGAGATAACCATGCTGATCACAAAAAAAAGTAAAAGGGAACCAAGACAAACTATGTGGAGACGCATACGTCCTTCTATAAGTAGAAAGCTTTCTTAGGATGGAGTAGATAGCCTAGGAAAAGATTAGATTTAAAATGTTAATGTCCACTTTCAATTATTGTCAAGGCTGACTAAATGTATGTTCTATATTTAAAAGACAAAATGCTTATTTCAAAAATCTACTGTGTTAGATGAATTCCATTCTCTTTCTTACTACCATGAGTGCAAATATCAAGATTGTTTAAGTATTTCAAAATTCGTATCATTACAAACAGTTGCTCTAATCTACATCCCCATCTATTTCTGTACCTCAGGATTGTGGTTAGTTTTTGTTTTCTGCTTTAAACATTGACCTCTCTCCTAAGGATTAGAAATGCATTATTGAGAGTCCCTGTGTTAGAAGTAACTTAGAACTGAGCTAGTCAAGCACGCTGATAGATTTAGAGATTAATTTCTGGACCTCTTATGGTGCTAGAGAAGCTTTTGAAGATTTTGAAAATGGCAGCAATATTGACTCCCTACCACTAAAGGTTACTTGTATCCACATTCATTCGAATGCAAAAGGAAAGTTTAAGCATGTTAAATATCAAAGTTGTTTTGCTTTGTGGAAAAACCTGTGCACAGAAAACAAACAAACAAAAAAGCAATTGCCAGGATAAGAAATAGTATACCCTCCAGAAGGACAGCTTGTACAAGGTGCATTTCCCTCCTTTTATTCAGCTGGGAAGACATCCTGTTGCTAAATTGATATCATTTGCACAGAAAAACAATAGGTCAATAATTTTGGACAGCCATATCTTAGGTCAGATTCCCCAAAAGCAATCCATAAGCCAAAGATATGAATAGTATAAGTATACAAAAAGAGAGATCTTAGTATGACTTATGAGCTATTTGAATTGTTTAGAACATTGGTTGAGACCTTTTTTCCAGATATTTTGGCTTAGATGCAACCCCAAATATGTGTTTTGCTAAATTTTAAAGTCTGTGCATTTTCAGGGAAATTTAATCCATATGTTGCAATGAGGCTACACGTAAATCATCCAAATGTTATTTTATTAGCACTACATAATGTCTAAACTGCCTTTTGAGCTGTTTTTTTATAGTCCTTATATTCTTTTCTGAAAAGCAGCAGGTAAGTTTCCAAGAGTAAACAAATCAAATAGCAAAAGGTTTGAGTTCAGCTTGAAATGCTTAGCCCATTATTTTTGATTGGGTTCTGAACTTGGCAGTGCGCAGTCCCTGTTCCTGCCTGCAGGGCAAAGGGAAAACAATCTGAACACTGTATTCCCCGATTGCTTCGTTGACATTTGAGAATAATGCGGCACAGGCAGAACGTTTGGCAGGTGAGTGATACTTAAAGTGACCTGGGAAAGTTCTTTCCCCCTGCTTTGCAGAAGTTCAAAGCATGCAACAATGTTACACATACTACAAAACACAAGTTAGGACAAGCAGGTATCCAGGGATCCATACTGAGGATTTATTTACTTTTCTTATGCACCTTTAGGTGGAATGGTTGAAAAATGAAGACATAATTGATCCTGTGGAAGATCGGAATTTTTATATCACAATTGATCACAACCTCATCATTAAGCAGGCCCGTCTCTCAGATACTGCAAATTATACCTGTGTTGCCAAAAACATTGTTGCCAAGAGGAAAAGCACAACTGCCACTGTCATAGTCTATGGTGAGTCAGCCCCTGGGATCTCAATCTAGTTCCTGTCAAACTGTAGCTTCTCATCAGTAGTATTTTTTTAACCTTAGCATATAAAGGTTAAAGGCTTCTTTCAACCCCCATGTTGTTCCTTCCAGCCTTTCACAGAGTCAGAGAGATTTGACTACTTCCCCGACACTTGTAGGAAAAAACTAACCTTGACATCTACCAGCCCTTGGTCAGTCAGCTTGTAGGAAAGTGAAGGACAGCCACCTGAGGGCCTGCTGCCTCCTGAAGCCCTTGTCTCTCTAGTCTAGGACCTGCACTGCCCAGGTCTAGATCAATTTCTGGAGATGAAGATGCCTCAGGCAGTCTGCTGATGTTTCTGTACACTTGGTACAATGATCATGAAACCTCAGGAAAGCAGGAGCTAACCTCTTCCCCAAACACATCGGAGCAACTTGACCTCCCCCGAACTTGCTTTGCTCCCTTCCTCAGAGGCAAGCACAGCAATGATAAAGGCAACTGTGGTCAAGTGGCACTCATCCCTACGACACATCAAAGTCTCATGTGGTGACTTCTTTCATTCACTGGCTCCTGGTAATCTATCTCATCTCTAAATCTATCATTTCCCTTCAAGTGCCAACCAGTTTCACTCTCCATTTTGCTGTGGCATATATGCTTTTATCTCTGTGTTTTTGCACTCAGTTGTCTTCTAGTTATTTCACAAGTGGTTTCATCTCCCCAGCTAAGCTTTAAGTACTTTTATAGACCAAGACATTGACTGTATACTTACATAGTTCTCACAATGTTAGGTTATCATAATATTTGATGATTTATAGTCACAGAGCAAACCAAACACCACCAGGAAGTATTTTGAGGTAATGTTTCCTCTTGAACAATAAGTCCAGGTTTCACCTCCTCTCAGAACATAAGGAAGTGTTTCATCCTTACTTTGGTGGTAAGGGACATTCAGGGCCCTTGGTCTCATGGACTGTGAATGAAGGACAGTCACAGGCAAATATCTGACTCCTGATACTTACTACAGATAGTACTGAAGGATGTAAGAATGTGACACCCCAAAACATAATATTCCAGTTTATTGATCCCTTTCTTTTTTTACTATTGGCAGACCTTGCATTTGCTAAGCAAGTAGTCTACCACTTGAGCCCCACCCTAGCCCTTTTCTGCTTTTAGTTTGTTTTTCAGATAGGGTCTTGTGCTTTTGCCCAGGGCTGGCCTTGGACCCTGATCGTCCTGCCTCTTCCCAGGTAGCTGGGGTTACAGGCCAGTGCCACGGGTCCAGATTATTGACTTACTGAGTTAATGTGCTAGAAAACAGGAGGTTGGGAGGATCCCACTTTTCTTAAAAGAAGGAAATGAAATTGCCATATGAAATATGTCTTCTGTACACTAGAAGGAAAATAACATTCTTATTAAGAATGTGAAGTTGAGACTGAGAGAATTCTATATACCACTTATTAAAATAACTTATTAGCCTCACCACATCATTTAGTTACCTTTTCAAAACTTACCACTCTTCGCCCAATTCAGTATGTAAGTGTTTAATTCTAATGGCATCCTTGGGTCTTTATTTATTAATATTCCCATGACATGTAAAACTTGTGTTAAATAAAGTTTTATGCTTTTCTCTAGTTGATCCATTTTCTGTTAGTGTAATTCTCAAATGAAAATAAAGCCTAGAAATACAGAGATAGAAATTTTGTCTTTAGTGAAGTACACTCCAGGGTTGTGTTCCAAGTACAGAAACTATTATTTTGTTCCAAAGCCTGCATAGAGTGATGGTTGAAAACTGTCATTTTAATTACAGGACAGACATGTTCAATTTTTTTAATCCTCTGATTACTCTGAGGTTCAATTCATAGTCCAGATAATGACTATGTTGAAATGTAAGAAATTGTGTTTCTTAAATCACAATATAATGCTTCTCATTTTTTATCTTTGTCTAAACTGCCTGAAAGACCTGATTAACAGCATTTGAAATGCAAAACAGAAATGGGGCCCATTCACAGCATGTATAATCATAAGTAACTAATGAAGACAGACTAGATATAGATTTATTTTATAGATATTTAATATACATGCAAATCTTTTCCTATGTACAGAATGCTGACGATACCCATAAATACAATGACTTCATTGTTCTTAGGAGGGATCAAGCAGAACTAGCTTAAGTATTTTGAGCTAAAGATCAGGACTAAAGTTCAGGAATCTTGTGTTAGTCTAAGACCAAGTTTGCTACTAACTAATCTTTTTTAAAAAGATCTGTATATTTCCTTATATTTACTCTAATGTGATTATATCCCAAAAGGCATGTACAGAAAATTAAAAAATTATAACTTGTTCCCCCAGGCTTTTGTTTATTTTCTATTCATGAAATGTACTTATTAGGCTTCTACCATATATACAGTAACATAAGTGACACTAGATTGTATAGTGACACTGAATTAGGAAAGTGAATAATAAAGTGTAAAGCAATGGAAAACTGCTAAGAATGCAATGAAGGATAGTCTATACTCTAAGCACTAAAGTAGACTAATGTGCATGAAAGCTAGAGAGTTCTAGACAGGTACAATTTATTAATACACAGTGAATTTAAAGGAGAACTTTTGAAAGTATCTGTATTGGATTAAAGAACACTCATTCATTCAGTAAGTATTGAGCACCTGGGTCTAACTAATCTTTTTTAACTTGAATTCTCAGAGCCCTGTCTCTTGCTCTGTAAAATGAAAGAATAAGCTAAGTCTAGGATCTGCAAAGATATTTTTGTGTCTGAAAGTTTCTGATAATTCAGTTCGCATTAAAATTTTAGCAGAGCAGTGCGTGTATCCTACAACCCTAAATATCAGCTTGTTAGTATGCGAGTAAGCAGTATATACTGACAACTCCATGACATTTGCAGTTTTATAAAGTTGAGCTACTTAAGTTGCTTTTGGGAGCACTGACTGAAACCCTATATATCAACCATATACTTTTCTTTTTACACCTTCATAAAATGAGATGTCCAATGATTCTAGGTTGAGGCTCAATGAGAAGTCCACAGAAATGCATTTCTGACTCTAAGTAGGTTTATATATACCTTTTTGTTAATATCATTGTTACATCATACATATATATCATTACACAAAATTTGGAAAACACGGAAAAGGTCAAAGAAGAAAATTCTTATAATACTGTCATTCAGAAGTAGCATCAAAAAAAATAATCGATATGTATACCAGTGGTATTTTCTATTCATAGTTAGGACTTAAAAACTAGGGATACACTTAAATTATTTTTACTTAAAATGGCACATGGAACTATTCATGTTTGATGAAATAGTCTTCTATTTTAAAGTCATTTTAATAACTATCTAGGCGTCCATCACATGAAGTTACATAGTTTATCATTTTCCTTCTTTTCAACAGTAAAGATGTTTCTAATTATTTATATCTATATATTTTTTAACTCTGCTGTGAAAATACCTTTGTGTCTATAAATACAGCCTACTCATGTTTGTTCCCTACTGAATAGATTTCCTAGAAAAGAAGGTGTTGGGAAATGATGTATACACATAAGATTTGTGCTGCTTCAGTGGTTGATAGAAGACTTTACTGTTAGAAGGCAAGGACATCTATTAGTTGTATCATGTTTTAACCACCAGCAATAATTTTGGTTAGAAATTGCTTCATTATAATAATCACATAGACTCACATCATTAAATTACTTTTTAAAAATTAGACTTTCTAGAGGGAGAACTCCAGAGGTGAATAGTGAGCATAGTGTTAGGGTGTAGGTTTTATAATTACACCTGTACTGAAAACTCCATCAAACATCATAATTAGCCTTTCTACACAAAATGGGTGTCCATTTCAATTATGTCAACTATTTGCCAATTTAGTCCAATTCCCAGTCAATTTGTTTGAAACTCTTAATGCTGTAAGATTTTTGTTTAGTAACTGAGTTCATTTATCAGTTTATAAAACTAGCTAAAATTCTTTCAAAGGTTATAAAGTTTGCAAGTGCTAAAGAAAAATAATCAATCTTCTGTTTTACTAAAGTCTAAGTGATTTTATTCAGTTCCCAGGCTACAGATCTACTTACAGCCTTGGCATCAGGATGTAAACATTTATTATTCGAGATAAGCTGTCAAAAGTAATTTGGGGAGCTTGACTAGCTAAGGGGATGCATTTTTTAAGAACATTAGCCAAGAAAAAGAGAACAAAGATCTATTTATTTTTCTGAGAGAGTAAATCTTGATAATTTTATGTATCCTCTGTGTTTAAATTCTTCTGTTGTACAACAAAACTTGGAAAATAATGTCCATGTTCTCTTACAGCTTTGAGATTTTAGGTTTTTATTTTGTTTTTGTGGTCACTTGGGAAGTAACTTTTGATTTGTCTGTTGTCTGTGGATTGTGTGTCCATGTGTACATACACACATGTTTAATCCACTGTTTCTTATCTGCCTTCTTTCAGTAAATGGTGGCTGGTCCACCTGGACGGAGTGGTCTGTGTGTAATAGCCGCTGTGGACGAGGGTATCAGAAACGTACCCGGACCTGCACCAACCCAGCCCCACTCAATGGTGGGGCCTTCTGTGAAGGACAGAGCATGCAGAAAATAGCCTGTACTACATTATGTCCAGGTAAACAAGCTGTCCCCTCACTCCAGATGCCTCCCAGCATTCCAGAAATTTGTTTTAGAAATAGATACAAGAGCCTTGTTCTTGACTTAAAAGTGTGATAAATAATATTTACATCCATTCTACACTCAATGTTTACATTACTGGGAAATCAAATACCTTCCTCCAAAAGAATTCCACACATGCAAAGTAATATAAAAGAGGAGATGAAACACCCATGAACATAATCCCTCTCTGTTCAAAGAAACTCCTGGAAACGAGATTACAGGTTCTATAATTTAAGGGATTTGAACAGCATTGAAAATCACATGCTAGAAATAACAACCCTTGATCTTCAGAAAACCATGGAAATTAATTGGAACTGAAATTTAGAAAATGTTTCCTATTGAAATATTTGATGTCTGGTGTCAGTTTCTGGGCAAGGGCAAATAAAACATTTGGAATGAATTAAAAGGAAGGCAAAGCTTTGTGACACATGGGATAATGGATTTTGAAAATACATTGCAGTCAGCTCTTTATTATCTATACATGTTGGTCCTCTGCTTTGTGAGTTATTCGCAGTGGTACCTACAGCAAGATTGCATCCCCCTGCCTGTCACAGTTGTTCTGCACTGTTTCATATTGCTCCAAGTTACAATCTGTAGACAAACTGAAGTTAGCATTTCCAAAATCAAAATCAAAAGCTATTAAAGTGTCTACTTATTCCATATATCTTGAAGTTAAGCTAAAATAATTTAAAAATAAACTACAATCTTAGTATGCTCATTAAGGGTCATTATTTTTTGTTGGTTTGATTATTTAGATGCCCAGCCTCCTAATTTCTCCTTCTTTGTCTAATTTGTCTGGATCATCCTTTAATAGAACCTTTGTCAGAAATGGACAGGACAAATCAATGGGAAAGAAAAATGTAATCTACATGTTACATTCCCAAGTGTTTATTTCCAATTATCAAAATGGTTTCCCACATTGAACCCTCTGAGAGCTCTTATTTATGGAGCAAACTTTTATACTTAGATAGGCTTAGAATTTCAGATTTTATCTTATACTCTGTTTTATTTTATGTAGGTGCAGATTTCTATAATAAAAATGAACTGATTAACTTGAGATGAAATAGAAGAGTGTGTGTGTGTATGCGTACATGTGTGTGCATGCTTCCGTTTGCTGGGATGATGCAGTTCAAAGCAAATGCCTTTGTTCCAAGTAGTTCAGAGTTGCTTGGATAATCACTGTGTATGGTAGGAATGTTGATTCTTATTTTTTATATAAGCATGTTACATCTTTATGTAGATGATGTGTAATATGTTTACATGGTATTAGACTATGAACTCATATAGATTCTGTAAACTGTGTAAACTATTAGAATTTGTATCATTTTATCAATATGCAGCTTTTAGAGATTTAAATGTCCAGTAACTGATACTTAGCATTGATAATTATTTATGCAGTTCAAAGGAGATCAAACACTTTTTAAACTTAGTTTGACATTTTTATGCAATTTCTGTGAGAAAATTAAAAGGATGCATTTTGAAGTATGCCTGTGAAATTTACTGTGTATTGTTTCAAATTGACATTTCAGTTATGTGTTTTTAAAAGGGAAATATCTCACTCATCATCGTTGAAATTGCTCACGAGCCAGCCACCAAAATTAGGAAGAAAGTGAGTCAATTCCAAATGACTGAATCACTGCAAAAATTAGGAACTTAACTAAATATTGCTTTAAAAATAAATAGAAATAGATCATCAAATAATGAAAAAGAATCATCCAATACTAAGGCAAAAGTAATATATAGTCTTTTCAAGAAGGCAGGGCAGGTCTGGGGTTGTGACTCAAGTAATAGAGTGCTTGCCTGACTTGCACAAGACCCTAAATTTAATCCCCAGTACTAAAAAACAAAACAAGACCAAAAAGACAGAAGATTTCAGCAGAATCAAGTGGTCTAGATGAGAAACAGAAAATAACAAAAGGAGATAAGACAAGAGAGAGAGAAAGCGAGAGAGATGGATTTCTTCCCCCACTGTACCAAACTTTTCTCCTAACTCCCATACAGGTCTCTTTTCACTGTACACATAGCACTATGATTGAAGGATTCTTGGACCCAAAAAGAGACCCATAATTTTAATTACAAAATACAGAAGTTTTCCTGTAATAGAAAAAGGAGCTCTACTATGACCTACTTTTATGTAGCTTCCTGGTGACATCTTTGATTTCTTTGTGTCCCAATAATACACCCTTGGCTTGTCATTGAGAAAACAGTGACACACCCTGTAAGAAAAGTTTACTGAACTCCGATAACATAGTTGAAATGAGTGGAGAATTTTCTTCCACATTCTGTTCTGCTATATTATGGTTGAGCTCTGCTCTCTTTAGCCTTTAATAGCTGCTTCTCTCTCTGACCTGATGCTGGGTTTTCTCATGGCAGTGGATGGCAGATGGACTTCCTGGAGCAAGTGGTCTACATGTGGGACTGAGTGCACCCACTGGCGCAGGAGAGAGTGCACGGCGCCAGCTCCCAAGAATGGAGGCAAGGACTGTGATGGCCTGGTCTTGCAATCCAAGAACTGCACGGATGGGCTGTGCATGCAGAGTAAGTTGATTTGAGCCAACTGCAGGGGCCTGAGATTGAACCATTCAGATGTCTTTGAAGAAAATATTAAAAATTAAGAACTCTTTGAACAACAATAAAAAATGTAACGAGGCAGTAGTATCCTAGGTCTCGCTCAAAATTGGAAAAGGCTAATATCTCAGGAACCAGAATGAATAATAACTGTGTCCAGTTTAACAAAGGACATGCAGTGTTGCTTTCCCATGGAAAGGCTGTCACTCTTTCCAGACCACAGAACCATTGCTCAGCTTTATTAGCATTCACAAAAGGGCCCTAAACTACTCATGGACCCAAAACATGACTTCCAAAACGCAAGCTATTTATTCATAATTCATGGCTGGCACAAGACCAATGTGTGTGAAATATAAAATATATAAGGATAGTAAACATTTCTCCAGGTAGATTTACCAATTTACAATAAATGTTTAGTAAGAACATCTTCACAATGCCTTGAAATGGAAGAGTTCATGTTAGAAATTCTAATGTGGTTATGACTTTGCTTAGGTAAAGGACGGAATATTGATAAAGCAAATTTTAAAAATGAATGCAAAAGATTACATTGCATTGTAATGGGTGCAATAAGCTGACTATTCCCCATTTTCCCTACTGCTGTTCCTTAGATTTTCTTAATGAGATGGTCATTTGATTTCCATACGAGTAAACTCTTACCCCTTCATCCAAGATCCCTTAAATATTCACTATTTCCCAACTCTTTTCATGTCCATGAATTAAGGTGCTAAGAATTGTTCTGAAATCACACCTATTCACATGAATGGATCAAGCAATGTGCTCAGTTTGCATCTAAACTAATGGTGGCCAAATGTTGACATTTCTCATAACACATTGCATATTGCTTACAGAATATAAGCAATCGGATGTATTTGTGTAGATCTATTTGTTATTTAAAGAAAAGCATTTTGTTTTCAACACACATAGAAAATTTTGTTTACCTTTCAGAGTCTATACACAAGGATCTTTAAAAAGAAAGCTTACTTAAAGTACAAATAAATAATTATGTTGCTCACACTGAATAGAAATCCATTTTTATATTCCCTGCACATTGAATTGTTCGAGAACAGCCTGCTGTTGAATGGAGTGCACAGATTCTGATTATGATTAGGGACTGCTAACCATGCAGTTCACTGAGTTTGTGCCAGAAAGGCAAAAGTGAAAAGAATACAGCTGTGTCACTAACCATTTTTCCACAGATGTAGAGTTTGTTCCCCTAGGCATGACTTTGAATTCATGATTTAAAAACAACATAACCTGCACAAGTTTTTTTTTTCAATATTTTTTAATCATAGTATTCTTCCTTTACTGTAGAACAAACTGATTCATGTGTTTGAAAAGTAGCAATATTTGGAGTTTTTTTCTCTCATAATGTAACCTTCAACCTTAAGTGATTCAATATCTACTGCTTCTGTTGTGTGATTTAAAAATCTTCAGATCAATGTATTTAACAAGGAATACAATGCTACAAGTTAGAACATTGAAACTTCTCTTAGCTATATAAAGGGATGCTTTCTAAATTAAGGTATTTGTCAGACAAACATGAAGCATCCAAACTAAGACTTCATGACACAGCAATTCTTTAACATCTAGATCACTTATTGATGAGATATGTTGAAACTATTCCAGAAATGCAGGGAATACAGACAAAGGAGAATAATGGAGGGGGTGAATTCAACTAAAATGCATTCTAAGAACTTTGTAAGTGTCACAATATACCCTGGGAACAATAATAATATGATAGTAAAAATAGATAATTTATTGCAGCATTAATAGAATTTTCCTTGTGATTGGATATTTCCCAATAATAATGATATACAGTGTGCATGAAAATAGAGAAGAGCAATGTGGCTACAACAGGCATTTTGGGTTTTGTTTATTTGTTGTTTGTTTTGTTTATTTTTTAATCAATCCTCTTGTTAGACTGAAACATTTTGGTGTTTGGATTTAAATCATTCAGCTTAAAAGCTATTTCTTTCTGCAGCTCTGATTTGTTATCATACCAGTCCCTGCTAAGTCAATAAACTCCTTCATTTGCCCTCCTATATCTACTCCAGTCCAACAGAGAATTGTAGTCTATACTACTATTGATCTCCTCAGTGATAAAAACCACAGAGATATTGCTGTGCTGTGTAATTATAGTATTTTACAGTGAGAGCTATAGTTTCTGTTTACCAGTAAGCTTGGTGCTTCTGACAGCCAAAGTCTTGCAATAAAATAACATTACCTTGGCTCTTAGTTTAGGAAACAAAACCTTTCTAATGATGAGACTACAAAGCTTGCAAGTGGGAGAAGGTCTGTATTAAGAATGAGAGTAGAAAAGACAGTCAGAGAGTTGCAATTGTCAACTAGAAATTACCATTTGATATTTACTTACTTAGAAAATTAATGCTTTGAATGTAGTTCTTCAGCACTACTGCAATGCTATCTCAAAATATAGTTCACCTACTTAGAATTGAACCAGGTATGAAATAAGACCTCTGAACCTACTCAAATTTATATAAAATAATTCTGACATAAATATAGGTATACCTCTAGGTAAGAGAAATTCAGGCTCATAGTTGATATGAGTAGGACCTAGTGACTTAGATATTGTAGTGTAGCATTTTTTCAACAAGCTAAATTAGTTCTTAGCAGCTGTACAATGGGAACTATATAGAAAATATTACCATCAACGTTTAGTCATTAGTTTGTTTAAAACACCCAAATTCAGACATACCTCTTCCTTAACTACCTACCTTAACATCAGCACATTTGATCAAAACATGAAGAAGTACTTGATAAAATATTACAGTCTTAATAGAATCACATGGAGAGACAGAAAGAAAGAAAGAGAGTTGAGTGAGTGAGAAAGAGAGAGAGGAACATCCTCAGATGCCAGAAAAGCTGTTGTAATACAAAAGGAGATTGAAAGGTGCCAAGATGGCCAAGAGAGGCAGTGAACGTGGGCACAGGTAAGTAGGAGTTAAGGTTCCAATTTGGGCACAGAGGCAGAAACTGACTTTGTGAAAGCCTGGGGCTGAGACTTGGAAGCAACAACCCTGAATAAAGCTGTAACTCATAAATGGCTGCCCCACCATAAGAAACAGCTGTAGCATTTTCACCCATCAGGCCAAGGAAGCCACAGAAAAAGTCATGGTAGGAAAAAAGAAAATGAAGTCTTCACTTAAATAAAACCTATAGTAAAACCACCGTGCTACACCCAGTTCTGGTATGTAGTCAAAGATATAATACAGAGAGCAAAAACCAAAAGATATGTAATTACCATAATTAGTGAGACTTTTGCACACTAGCAGAGCAAGCAGAAAGCCACTCTGTAGAGTCCCTTCCACAACCTAAATGCATTGGTCTATGACAAAAATAGCCCACTCCTGAAACTAAGATTATAATACAAAGTTCCAAATCACCCAAAGAACAATCCACTGCAATAGTGAATTGCAGCATAATAAACAAGTGAGTTAGCATTCCAAGAACTTGGACTCATAGAGCAATCTAAATTAGACTAAACAGTAAGTAAAAGTAAAAAGGCAAACTATATTTTTTGAAATATCAGCACAATGAAAGAATAAAATATTGGTAAAAGAACACATTTGGAGAAAAATGAAATGGAATTTCAAAATAATTTAATCACAACAATTGAAATTTAAAACTCAGTAGATTAAAAATTAGATAAAGGTGAAGAGAAAATTAGTAAATTGGAAAGCAGATTCATGAAACTCCCCACAATGCAGGGAAGAAAGATATACTGAATGTAAAGAAATGTTAAGATACATGGAGGACAGAATGAGAAAAAAATATCTATTATTCATGAAAGCAAAATTAAAAAGATCTTCAGACAATTGATAAAGTGTTTGCTACTCATGATCCTCACTAAGTAAACTACCAAAAATGTAAAATATTAATTGATTAATTGCTCAGACCTGTAATGCCAGTTACTTGAGCAGCAGAGATCAAGAGGATGATGGTTCAAGGCCAGTCAGGGGAAAAAATTAGCAAGATCCCTATCTCACAAAGCTAATAAGGTGTGGCGATGCACGTTTGTAATACCAGCTATGCGGGGGACATAGGTAGGAGCATCTCAGCCTGAGGTTGGCCCCAGGTAAAAAACATGAGACTCTATCCAAAAAATAAAGCAAAAAAACTCAAATAGCAGAGAGCTTGCAACAAAAAGAGGGAAGACAGTACAAATGAAAGTTGGCTGTACATATTCAAAATAATAAAATAATTTTAAGGGCAAGAAAGGAGCAGAAAAGAAAGAAGAAAGGCCTTGATAAAAAGCAAACAATAAGGGAGAGAAATAAATTTACATTTATCAGGGACAACAATATAAGTGAATTAAATTCACCTTCAAAGGAAATTTAATATTATAGGGAAAAATCCAGTTTTATATTGATTATGAATGACATTTAACTAATACACAGAAAAATCAAAAGTTAAGAAACAGAATGTATAACATTTACTTTAAATTAGCCTTGACTATCTGGTTGGACCATTCTCTGTTCAATTCCATTTCCCATTGTGTCTATGTGATCTGTTTTAAATATTGGTTTGCTCATAGTCTTAACTTACAGCATTGTTTTTCTTAGCCTTTATAGTTTTTTTAGAATGTTGAATTTTCAACAGAATAATTGATTAAAAATTGTTGAATTGTTTGCTAGGCTATTGATAATATGAAACATTTTAGAAATCCACACCTTTCCTCCAATTAATGCTCACTGAAATTTTTGTCATCGAAAAGTTTTGAGGATCACTAATAAAATTATTTAATATTTCAAACAAGTAATAAGGCTAAATATTGACCAACGTGTAGTGAAGTGGAAGCTTTTTATATTTCTAATGGAAATATAGGTGTTTATAATTGTTTTAGGAAGCAATTTGACAATGTAATTTAAAACTTTAAAAATTGTTCACACCCTGTGATCCAGTAATCCCACTGGAATGAGCACACTTCAAGAAATTGACATGTGTACCTA